TTGTTGTTGTTGTTGTTGTTGTTGTTGTTGTTGTTGTTGTTGTTGTTTTGATACAGGGTTTCTCTGTAACTTTGGAGCCTGTCCTGGAACTAGCTCTTATAAACCAGACTGGCCTCGAACTCACAGAGATCCACCTGCCTCCTGAGTGCTGGGATTAAAAGTGTTCGCCACCACTGTCCAGCTTTTTATTTTTTCTTTCTAAATCCTTCTTAGAGAAGAAAGTTGTAAGCAGTTCTTTTAAGGGTGCAGCTCAATGCTCTGTCATTGCTGCCTTGCTATTAAGAAGCCTTTGTTGGCCTGCTGATGGTGGCACATACCTTTAAACCCAGCACTCAGGAGGCTAAGACAGGCAGATCTCTGAGTTCGAGGCCAACTGGTCTACAGAGTGAGTTCCAGGACAGCAAGGGCTGCACAGAGAAACCCTGTCTCGAAAAACCAAAAGAAAAAGAAGGGAGGGAGGGAGGGAAGGAGGGAGGGAGAAAAAGAGGGAGGAAAGGAGGGGAAGGAGGGGAGAGAAGGGAAGAAACCTTTGTTGGTTATCTTCTCCAGTCAGGTGGAATAGAAGGTTCTTTGAGAGCAGCAAGCCCATTCTCCATCCCACAAACCCCCTCTCTGCTGGGCCCTCTTCCTAACCCCTCTCACCCCACCTTGGCCTTAGCTTTCACTTACTTTCTGTCTTTGAGCAGCTGTTTCCCAGAGAGGGCAAAAAGCCTCTGGGAACGCCAGAGATGAGATTCCAACTAGAGCAGGCGAGTCTGGGACATTTCCAAACCTCAAAGTTATGGAAAAACCCCACTGAGGGCTTCTAGGGTGGTGACTCAGCACACCACAGGCCCAGGCTGCAGTGGGGACTACAAACCGTAGCCTAGGCCTGGTGTCTGCTGACCAGGAAACCAGCTTGCTTTCGGTTTGGTTCTTAACACTGTCCCAGGGCCAGCTGTTCTCATCAGAGCTTATCTGGCTGCAGAAAGTGGCAATTTCCTATTCCAATAAGTCTTGGGGATGGGACTCAAGGCCAACTCCAAGTCTCTCTTCCCAACAAGCAACTGCCCTCACCCCTACCCACCTCCCCCAGCCCCGATAGAACTGGTGAAGCTGCTCTTTGGGGGGAATGAAGCAGAAGTCATTTGAGAATGCAAAAGAGGGCATGGTAGAACCACAGAAACCTCCCTGAAGATAAGGAGCCCTCCCCTCAGCCAAGAACTCCCTCCCCTGAAAAGGTGCTCACCATCTCTGCCACCCAGTTAAGAACCACCGAGTTCCAACGGGCTGCCTTCAAGGCCAGACAGGGAACCTGTATACCTGTGCCAGTCAGTCATTGTCAAGAAGACGGGAAGCTAAGGATGGAAGAAGGGAAGGGAAGTTCACATGGCTTTAGAATGAAGACTGTTCACCGCTAGGGTAGGGGGCCCTCCCTCGATGGTCTCAAAGATAAACCGAAGCCACAGCCCTGGCAGCAGCTGAGGAGGGCATGCTGGCTAGGAAGAGGGGGTGAGTCACTGCCAATACCAATTACACCGGACATGATTCAGTTGTCCGGCCCCCCCACTGCCAAAAGAGCAAGAAACTTAGCATGCAGGTGTTCTGGGTGGTATTGGGGTGTCCTGAATTGGGTCACCGCACTAAGAACAAGGCTCCAATACAAGAGGGCCTCAATAGCTATATCCGCCATCACTCCTGCTGCATTATGAAGTCATTTCAGTTATATGTCCCTTTAGCTGGGTCACAGTGCCTAGATATTTGACCAAACAGCATTCTGGATGGTGCTGTGAGATTTTTTTTCAAAGATTAATATTTAAGTTACTTTGAGAAAAGCAGATTGTCTTCCTTTATAGCTGTGGACATAAAATGCCCTGCCTCTGCCAAATGCTCATATGCTAAGAACTTGATTTCTAGCCAAGCGCCTACCTTTAATCCCAGCACTCAGAGGCAGAGGCAGGAGGATCTCTGTGAGTTTGAGGCCAGTGCTAGTTCCAAGACAGCCAGGGCTATACAAAGAAACCCTGTTTTGAAAAACAAAAAACAAAACAAACAAAAATATCTTTCTCTTCAGCTATAAGATGTATTCATCAAGAGGTTATTTGACAATAGGATTCTTGGCCTACGATGGATTGGTCTATGGATGGGTCCATCATTCACTGGCATTATTAGGAAGAGGTGAGAGGCCTGGGGGGAAGGACAGAGCTGGAGAAAGGGGGTCACTGCGGGCATGTCTGCATCCTGTCCCTGTCCTTTCCCCTCCATTGTTCTTTGCTTCCTGTCTGTGGTGGCCTGAGAGAGCAGTTCACCTCCCCACATCCACTGTGCCCTGATCTGCTGCTGTCTCATTGATTCCCAGAAGCAGGGGAGTCAAGCGACCACAGACTAGGTGTCAGAAACTGTGAGCCAAAATGTATCTTTTTGCCTCTTAAATTGTCTATGTCGAGTGTTTTATCACACACACACACACACACACACACACACACACACACACGTCATCATCATCATCATCACCATCAAATTTACTAATATATCTCCAGTGGACCTCATCCAATCAGCCCAAGTCTTCTTGAACTTGACAGAAGTGAAATTACAGGACACATTTGTTCATGCTGTGACTCATATCAACAGCTGTCTTTTTTTTTCTTTTTTTTTGCTGAGTGCTCTGTGTGAATAAAATCCAGCTGAAAATGGATTGTTGATAAACCTTTGGCTTGTGTTCAGTTTTGTGACTATAAAAAATGAAGCTACTGGAAAAGTTCTGATACATATTTTGTGGGAACCAAGAATTTTTTTGATGTTGTTATAATCCTAAAAGTGGATTTATTGAGTCATCGTGGCATAAATTGTGTTTCCAAAGGAAATATTACAGTTGCAATCGCATCAAGTTAAGAGTAGCCGTTGTGGTGGCTGCTAATCCAATATGACCTATTTCCCTCTAACAGGGAAACTCGGGTGCATATACACACAAAGAGCCGAAGGAGGAAGAGTCACCCAGGGAAATGCCCTGTGACAGCAGGGGCAGAGGTTGGTGTGATACTGCTGCAAGCTAAGCCCTGCTGAGGATTTCTGGTGGCACTGGAATCTCAGACAGGGGCCTAGGATAGATTCCCTTTCAGAGCCTGGGAGAGAGCAGCACCCACCAACGCCATCATAATGACTTTGAGCCTCCAGAAGGGGGTGAAGGTAAATGTCCGTGATTGGCCGCCTCGTGCTTCTTCACAGTCCTGAGAAACTCAAGTTGTGATGTAATGTGTAGCCCTGTAGTCTGCCAGGGTGCCAAGTAAGACATTCCTGAGGGAAAACTGACGATTTGACACATTGTTCTTCTGGGAGACGGGGGAGAAGGAGGAACTGTTGGACAGTCGGTCATCTTCAAACGAATCCCCCTAAACCACTACCTCTGCCCTAAGATGGACACAAAGGCTTAGAGAGGGCCAGGAGCCAGTCCAGGGTCACAGGATTGGCAAGTGGTGAGAACAAACACTGACTTCGATAACCAATGAACCCCAAAGAGTACCCCCACCTGAGATTACTTGGTCAGTCAGCTACAGGCTCCTCCTTGGAGCCCCATACCCAGTGACTCACCTCAAGTTTCACGCTGTGAGTCAGAAGCCAGACTCTGAGGCTTCTTAAGGGCCAGATATCCAACAACCTGACGATATCAAAATGAGACCTGTGAAATTCCTGCCCATTGTTTCACAATATTTTTAAAATTTGGGCGTGTGCGCCTGTGTACAGGTGCCTGTGCGCATGTCTGCACATGAGCGCAGCGACGACGTTCAGCCTGCGGAACTGAGCCTCAGGAGTTAGCCACCTTGACTATGTTGAAAAAGTCTCTCTGGTCGGGCCCAGGAGCTCACCAGGTAGACTAGAGTGGCTAGCCAGCTAACTCCAGGGTCCCTTGTCACTTCCTCACCAGTGCTGGGAACATTAGTGTGCCTCATGCCTAGCTTTTCACGTGGGTGATGGGGCCTAAATTTAGGTCTTATGTTTGTTTTTCAGACAAGGTCTGGCTGTCCTGGAACTAGCTCTGTAGGTCAGGCTGGCTTCGAACTCACAAAACCCTGCTTGCTTCTGCCTCCCCAGTGGAAGGCTTACTCCAGCACACCTGGCATCGTATCTGGGCCCTTTACTGACTGAGCCATCACCCCAGCTCTAATTGCACCCTTTATAAGAAAGTGAGTCTATCTTCGGGGCCGTTGGCTAGGGCAAGTTTTTCAAGCCAAAGAGTGGCTCCACCCTCCCTCCTAATCCTAGAGAGCAGTAGCCATCCCTGTGTTGGCCTCTGCACATTCTGCAACCAATAGGGAAAGAGAAAGAAAGGGATGGGATAGAGACAAATCAGAGGGTCAACCCTGTTCGCCTTCACTGCTAGGAAACTGGGCTGAAACAAAGCTCGCAGAAAACAGGAGCTCTGTCCCCTCTGTCCTAGGACGCCTGAGCGTCCCCTCTGTCCTAGGACACCTGAGCGTCCCAACTGCTAGCAAGGCTGTCACCCAGCCTATGGTGAGACTGTATCCACTGTGACCAGTGCACCCCTTTAACAACCTCACTGGCTGTTAGGGTGAGTATTCTTCATTTTTCTCTAATTCTCTCAGACCCCTGTCCCCATCACTGCTTCTTTCTTATTCCCCCCACTGTCCCCCCTAGGAACCTTTATTCTATGACAGCCTTGGTACTGGGGAGACAGAAGTGAGTGATGCCACACTGAGACCTACAAGACTCTTCCATTGTACTTGGCATCTTGGGCCAAGGCCACAGTCTCAATCTCTCTCTCTTTCTCTCTCCCCCTCCCTCTCTCTCTCTTTCTCCCGCTCCTTCTCTTCCCTCCCTCCTCCTCTCGCCTTCCCTCCCTCTCCCTCCCCCCTCTCTCTTTCTGTCTCTCCTCTCTCTCCTTTCCAGCCCCTTCCTTCCCATCTTTTCGGTGATGTAACTTAAACCCTGGGCTTTCTGCATGCTAGAAAAATGTTCTGACACTGAGTCACACCCCCGGTTCTTCTCCCACAGTGGTTCCATCTGCTTCCAAGACTTTGTGTCTGCTTTTCCCCAACATCCCACTCTGCCTCTGAGACAACCCAGTTCCTACCTATTGCAAAAAGCCATCTCCTGAAAAGAAATAGCTTCCTTCTTTTTCTTTTTATGACTTTTCAGGGGAAAGGGTTAAGTTAACATGTAAGCTAAATCTCCTCTCTTTCTCTCAGAGCTCGTTGTACTCCTGAACAACAAGAATATAGAACCTGCTGTATGTGAGGATCTGCTTCTAGCCCCAACGTACATTCATTCACGGAACCTCTCCAATATTCCCAGGTCAGCACTACCAATTTGGGATTTTCTCAAGGTCCTTTCTTCTCCTGCTCTTATCCCACTTCATGGTTGGGGAGGACACTCCCCCAGCCTCAATGATGTGCTCTACCCATGGATGTGGGTAGGAGCAATGCGCCCCTTCTGAGCTCAGCTCTTAAGAGTATCATGTTTCTACTTGCCACGCTGATATGTATGACCTTCACCATAAAAGAATATGCTCTTGATAGCTGCAGGTAAACACGTGGAGGAGACCTAAACAAAACCCACAGCCTGGAGCCCAGCCCGACAGAACCATAGCTAACCTGTGGGCTTTGGAATGAAAGTCAAAGACTTATAGGTTAGAAGCCACAGAGCCTAGGGGTTGTTTGTCATACAGCATTAGGGTAGCAATCGCTGAAAGACAGTTGCTGTTTCATATTTGACATTAGAAATCTGTGGCCTGTAGAGGCGAAGTAGAGTTTCAAGATTCTGAAAATGGTGAGGGATGGAACTAAGGTGCAAATCCACACAACCAGGCTGCAGCTACAGTGTTCCGCATGGCTCTTGCATAGAGAGCTAGCATTCGCAATGCTTACTGCTTTTCGTATGTATGCGATAGTTAAGTTGTCGACGCTATAGGATTCAGAATCACCTAGGAGACAAGCCTCATGATGTATTTATAGAGGATTATCTGAATTAGATTAATTGACAGAAGAGTAGCATCATTTCCTGGGCTGGGGGTCCTTCTGGGCAGCATAAAAAGAAGAAAGCTGGCGAGAACCAGCACCCATCACTCTCTGCTTCTTGACCGTGACGATC